TTTATTTATTTTAGGGCTTAATATTTTGTTTGTAAATGGAATATTTAGCTACAAACTAAAAAAAATAGTTTTAGTGTGAAGCTAGTTAAAGTTTTATTTTTAAATCTATTTTTGATTTAAAAAAAATTTTTTCGCTGTAGAAACAAATTTGCAGTAATTTAAGTGAAGAATAAACAAAATGAAAAGAGAGAAAAGAGGAAATAAAACTAATTGAGTTGGACTTCCTATACTGGATGATGACATCACTTCCTGCTTGTTCAGCCACTCGCACTGAGGGATTGTGGGTTTTAGACATTTTAAGCAGCTTTAATAGAGATGTAATCTGATTCTTAATTCTTACTGTCTTATTTCAGTGTGTGTGTGTGCGTGCGTGCGTGCGTGTGCCCGTGTGTGTGTCTGTCCTGGATTAAACATGATTGTAGTTCAGTAAAGGTACAAGAAGCTTTTCCTCCTGCGCCTTGAATAAGACGGCTGAATTAAATGTTTGTTTCTCCGTCTGGTTTTAACGTCCGTCAGCTTCTCTTCTCTGTTTCTTCTTTATTTATTTTCCTGCTCTAAAATATTAAAGTTCCAGCTTTCAGTACCTCCTGCTCAACATTCGGGACATGTTTTATTTTTGGTCTCACTTCAGTGTTTCAGAACATCAAACCAGTTCAAATATTTACCAAAAACGACACAAATAAAAACATAACACTGTTCATAAATGGCAATGTTTATTATTAAAACAAATATTAATTAAGAAAAATAATCCAAATCTATGTCAAAAACCAAAGTCATATATGTTTTACTTACATTGGCAGTTTTATTGTAAATATTTAATTAGGATGATAAATATTTAGGGAATAAAGTAAATATTTAGTTGATTCTCTATTGGCTATTAATCTATTACTAAGCTAAATATACTAATTATTTAGTTAACACTCTGCTTAGTGACTAAGCTAACTATTTAGCTCAAAATTAAATATTAAATTCAGCTAAGCTAAATATTTAGCTTGAACTATATAAAGTAAATATTTACTTTGAGGCTAAATAGTTAGCTTATTTGGTCTGTGCACAAGAAATGGCTTGCTTATTATGCTTACTGAATAGATTAAAGCTAAATATTTAATTTGTAAACTAAATTATAATTTAGAAAGCTAAATATTTAGCTTGAGTTTGCTAGCTACTCTTATGACTAAGGAAGGCTAAATGACCCAAATTACTGCTGTGAAGTTTTAACTTTACAAACTTGTTTTAATTGACTGAAGTGACAAATATGCAAATAGGAAATAGGAAAATAGGAAGCAAACTCTTTCAGTCAGAAGAAACATTAAAAATACTTCAACCCTAAACCTGTAAACTTCTGGATGTCGTCGTTTTGCTCCAGTTTCCTTTCTCTCTTTTTGAAGATTGATGTGTTTGTTTCTTTGGTTTGTGTCGATGTGACGATCTGGGAGACTTCAGGATTAAATTAAACAAACTGACATGTGTCAGTTTAATTGTTCTACGGAGCTCCAAACCTGTGCAGCGCTGCTGGTCCACATCGCTGGCCTCATTTCTGTCAGTCAGAAACCTTTTATTAAACACGTCACCATGTTTACATCACGCGTTCCCCGGCTGCGGCTTTCCAACCCACTGACACCGTTTGGACCCGGCAGGTTGGAGAGTTTGATTCTCTGGGTTAGTGGGTCAAACTGACGCGTCGTGGAAACACGAGTCCAGAAAAATATGTCAAATAATAAAACAGGAATCAGTAAAACAGGTTTGGATCATTAATGACCTACAAGAATTCAGGTTCATCTGAGGTTTTAATGTCTAAAACTGCTTTTACAAGCAGCTTTTAATCAGTTTGAATTTCCACTGTCTTTTTTTACACGGTTTAGTGTGATCATCACTTTTTTCAGGCTGCTACTAAAAGTTTGTAAAAGTATGGACAGATGAAAATGTTTAGTGCATTTAACTTCCCTTAACTCAGTTTGTTTGAATAAACTGCAAAGCTCTGATGTTCCTGGTTTGTTTGTAAACTTTCAGTTGGATAAAGTTCACCGTCTGTTGAAGTTTTGGTTTTTGTAATTCTTCAGGTAGATAACCGTTTATATTCATGCTCTTATTGTGAAGTGGTGGAGACTGTTTCCTCTCCTTCCCTAATAACTTTATTTAAAACAAACATGTAGGAACAAAATAAAAAAACAAAATATAAACACAGTATGATAGAACATGGTTAAATTTATCACTGTAGCTTTAGATTATGGTAAATATGATGGTATTAGTAGAAATAATGTTAATGATTAGCAGTTTAGTATTAGCTTCCACTAAATACTGTTGGTACAGGGCTTAAGTTTAGCAGAACTGTTTATGATTAGCACTTTAGCATTAGCTTTTGTCAAATATTATGTTCGTATAGCAATTTAGCATTTCCATAGCTAATGCTAATGATAAGTAGTTTAGTATTAGCTACCACTAAATACCATGTTTTTATAGCGCTTTAGCAGTGGAGGAACTAATGTTTATGATTAGCGGTTTAGCATTGGTGTCCAGTAAATACCATGTTGGTATAGTGCTTAAATGTAGCACAACTGTTTTTGATTAGGGCTTTAGCATTAGCTCCTCCTGCTAAATACTGTATTGGTCTGTTGCTTTAGCATTTAGCAGAACTGTTCATTACTTTTGCTGTAGGATTAGCGCAGCTAACTTTCAGTTAGCTTTGCCCATCGCTGATAACTGATTAGTTTTTGTAATTATTTCCTAATTTTGGCCGCTTCTGTCCTCCATATAGGATTAGGGTTAGGGGTTAAGGTAGGGTTTATGACACAAACAGCTCAGGCTGCAGAACTGACTTGTTGAATATAAGAAGAACAGATTTATTTCAGATCTGAATATTTTATTTACAAGTTCATATTTTTCCATAACATCTCCATAGAAAAACATGACTTTAATTTAAGCTACTTTATGAAGTGAATGTATACAACATGCTGATTTTAGCAGGCTGGGTGTGTGAGTGGTAGTTTTTGGACACAGTGGTGTTTTTGTCCACTCTGATCCCCACACATGCACACATGGGCTAACTGTATTAATAGGAGTCTGTTTTGTGTCAGGCAGATCTTAATAGGATCATTGTGAGAGACATGGGGCTGTCTGTCAGTCTAAGTTCATTAACTGATGATAGATAACCTGCAGAGTGTGTGTGTGTGTGGCGTGTGCATGTGTAGGTGTATGTGTGTGGTTTTCGGACTGTGCCTCCCTGTTTGTGGGTCTCTAGTGTAATTTATAGCCCTCAATTGGACGCCTTATCAGGTGCAGGACACATGGACGCCTCCTTTTCTCCTCCTCCTCCCATCTTTTAACTCCAACTTGGACTTTTCTCTCATTTTCCTCTCATCCATCCCCCAATCCTCACTTTTTATTACCCAGCGATGCTTTTTAATAATTGCTGCTCGTTCTGTCCTGATGTCTTAAAAAGTTGTCAAACTTCTGTTTTGTTTTGTGGAAACGTTTCTGCAGCCGAACTGGAGACGTTTGGGTTGATGTTGGAGAGCCGGTTCTGCTGCAGCTTCAGATGGTTAATAAAACATCTGGACGTAAAAACTGGAGTGTGTGGGGAAACGAGAGCGTCCATGGCGTTTCCATGGTTACTGAACACAATAATAGGAGGGTTTAGATGTGATGGATGAATAATATCAGATATACTGAGACTGGATGGATGGGAATATCTGGACCATCAAAGTTTCCGGTTTTCCAGACTTCAGTTCCAGTTGCAGCTTCCCAGATCAGATGGTTTCTGTATTCAGGAAGAATTTTAATAATTTCCTTTGCTAAACTGTATTTTTAGTTAATGTTTGTCTTGTTTCCATGCAGGTATGGAGGAAAGAACAAATGCAGCTTCATGGGCGAGTGGAAGTCGCTCCTCTAAGGTTTGTTTTGTTGCTTTTCTTCCAGTTTTATTAGCAATCAGAAATACTTTTAACCAGGAGCCTTTGATTTGGTTTTAATAACAAAGCAACTGTTTTCATGTAGAAATGTTTGGGTGGGTTTGTAAAGTTACACTGTCAAAAATTAACAGCAATATTTTGGATTATTTCATAACAGAAAAAAATTAGATCCATTTTTCAGTGTCATATTTTGATCATGTTATTCATTTATAAATGTCACAGTTTGAAACTAAATATGTAAATATGGCTTCAAACTTAACATTTAGTTTGAAGCTAATTATTTAGCTAAACATTTAATTAAATGTTTAACTAAATGTTTAGTTTTCTAATTAAATGGTTAGCTTGGAGCAAAATATTAAGTTTCAAGCTAATTATTTAGCTGGCTAACTAAGTAGTTAGTTTGGAGCAAGTTCAGAGCTAACAAACTAAATATTCAGTTTGTACCTAAATGCTTAGTTTGAAGCTAGGTGATTAGATGGCTAATGAAATATTTAGCTTCAAACTAAATATTTATCTTGCTAACTAAATATTTTATTTACACATAAACATTTGGTTTGGAAACTAACATGTAGCTTGTTAATAAAATTGTTAGCTTGGAGCTAAATACTTAGTTTGAAACTAAATAGGTTTTTTTAGCTACATATTTAGCTTCTTAGCTTAATATTTAGTTTGGACCTAAACATTTAATTAGGAAACAAAATATGTAGTTTGCTAAATGGTTAGCTCGGAGCTAAATATTTAGTTAGCTAGTTTGCTAGCTAAATATTGTGAAAATGTTTTTCTGTTATGGAAGGCTAAATAACCGAAATTGTTGACAGTAAAACTTCATAAAAATGCCCCCAGCAGAAAAGGAATGGTTGATNATGTACTTTCTTACTCTTGAGTATTTTTCTGCGTTTTACTTTAGTACAATTTTTGGGTAATTTATCGACCTCTGATTAAAAAGAGTGTTGTTGCTTCAATGTGAGCACATTTTCTATGACTGTGCAGTTATTGGACGGATTAGAGCAGCGACACAGACAGGCAGGTATTTCAGTTTACCTTTCAAACTCAAAGTCCCGGGAAGTTTGACTCACCTTTAGGCCGCAGCGGCGCTCAGAGGAAACTTCTAGAACTGTAAGTCCAGCTAGCTGGCTAGCTTTACTGAATTCAGAATTAGCTTTGTTTTAGCATAAAATAACAACAAATAGCTTAAATATTAGATGAAGATGTATTGATATGTGTTTATTTATGAATCTAAGATGTGAATTATTCAGCTTTAGAGTTTTAAAACAGTTTGAAGGTTAATGAAATGGCGGAACCTGTTGCTCCGTTAGGCTAGGCTAAGCGGAGCTAGCGTAACCTAGTTTTGTTCTAAACATTTTGCTAAAAAACGGTCAAAGTCGTTCCATAGTTATTTAAATATTTACAAGCTACCAATTTAAAAAACATATTCATGAGCTGTACATAGTTATTTAAATATTTTACATTTAAACAGCAGTCAGAGGCATTTAGCCTGAGCTATTCCTGCTAACATTATAGCTTTATGAGTCTGAGAGCCATAAATCCGGTGATATTACAGAAACTGTGACACATTTTTGGATGGATAGATGAACAAATTGATAGATTGTTGAACTAATACAAAGTAGTTATTTTTTGCAGCTTGGTGTAATTATTAATCACAAAGCCTTGTATGTTCTTATTTGTTGGCATAAACTTTTAGAGCTTGAAGTCCCAGATAGCTTCATATATTTTTGTTTTTTTGCTGCTAAAAAAAGCAGACGTGATGAAATGTGAAGACGAAGCTGTGTTGACTTGTTTTCATTTATGAATCCTACATGTTGATCTTTCAGCTTTAGTTTTTTATTTTTTATATCATTTTTTATTTGCTTAATGAAATGTTGTTTGGCTAGCTAGCGCGAATGTTGCAACTTAGCTAGGTTTATGAATGCCATAAAATATCTGGTAAAATTACAGAAAATATGACACATTTTTGGATGGATGTTGGGATAGTTAGTTACAGCTCACTGTTATTATCCACCACAAAGCTTTATGTTAATACTTGGCACAACAACAAAAAATAAATTGTAGCACTTTAAGTCTCAGCTAGCTTTACTGACTTCATAGTTTCTGTTAGCAGCAAAAACAATCTCAAAACAATTATGTCATATAAAAAAACTGTATTGAGATGTTTTCATATATGAATTCAACTTCAGAGTTTTAGATCTTTCAGCTTAATGAAATGGCTGAACCTGTTTGAGCTATGCTAAGCTAATGCTGTATTAAACACTAAGATTTCTTAAAAAGTAAAATATCCCAAAATGTACTTAAATAATTACCAACCACTCATGTTTGTTGAAATATTTGGGCAATAAACAAGTTAGAGGCTATTAGCCCAAGCTAGTCCTACTAGCGCTATAGTGCTAAGCTAGGTTTATGAGAAGAAATTACAGAAAATTTCACTCATTTTATGTTGTATTGAGGGACTAGCTTAGTGGTGGATTTATGGAGTGTTTCTGAAGCAGTTTTCCTGCCTCAATAATCTGATTTATTTCCATTTTTCAGTCATTAATTTTGCCTGTTGGCGCTTCAGAAAAGTTGAGCTAACTTTCTAGCTTGTGACCAGTTCGCTCCCAGATCTTTGTTTTGGTTTCCTTTTTTCCGTCGGTGTTTTTTGCTTTTGTTCTCCTGGTTGTGATGGTGTGCAGAGATCTAAGCCACAGTTGGCTGGGCTTCACATGGGCCGGCGTGGGGGGCTTGTCAAAGGAATTGCCGCTCCGCTTATTCTTCCTCCATCACAGCGACGAAGAAGAAAAAACACGAAACAAAAAGGATCGGCCTTCTTATTATCAATATTAATCTCTCTTTTTGGAAAGGCATCTGTAGGCTTTTAAAAACAGCGCATTCAAGAAAGCCATGTTTGAACTTGCTAATGTTTTCCCTCTCTCTCTCTGTCTACACAAACTATTCTCCTCTTCATTCAGCGTGCCATTAGCTCTCCAAGCTGTTGTTTGTTTTCCCGCTTTAATGTTCCTCTATGAACAAAACGGCAGAGAAAAAGGGCCTGAAACATGAAGCGTGCTCGGTTTTAGTGTCTGTGTGCCACGCAGCGCGGTGGTTTGCTGAGGATGCCGCCGCAGAAACCTATTAGAGTCCAGATGTTCTAATTATAGATCGGCTCTGCTGCTTAATGACAGGAAACGCCGGCCGAGGTGTTTCAGCACAGAAACATGAATGAAGCCGTCGAGCTCCACCTCAAGGCTGGAAATCGGATTTCCGTTTTTGGTGTCGTCCTGCTGGATACGGAGGGCTGGGGGAGGAAAACATTCTGTTTTCGTTCCTCCAGCTGTTGGAGGCGCGGCTCGGGAATCTGGGCGGGGTTCTGGTCCGTTTGGCTGAAATCAGTTTGTCTCTTGGAGAAAATGTTTGGAGGCGAAGATACAAGCAACACTAAAAGAAGCAACATTAGCAGAGCAATACAATTCGTACGGAGGAGGATTAGTGCCCGTAATCTATGGGGCGTGGTTTGTGAACTCGTAAAAATTAACAGCAAAAATTTGGGTTATTAAGGCTGCCATAACAGAAAAACATGGGGATTAATTTTTCAAAGTCATATTTTTATAATGTTATTTATTCAATATTGGTTTACAAACTAAATATTGCCTAACTAAAAATGCTTTAAATAGCTAAACTAAATATTGAAACTGGTTAGACATTTAGTTTATACATTAAATATCTATGTTTTTATCTTGCTAGTTAGTTTGAAGCTAAATGCTTTATTTATTTTAGGGCTTAATATTTTGTTTGTAAATGGAATATTTAGCTACAAACTAAAAAAAATAGTTTTAGTGTGAAGCTAGTTAAAGTTTTATTTTTAAATCTATTTTTGATTTAAAAAAAATTTTTTCGCTGTAGAAACAAATTTGCAGTAATTTAAGTGAAGAATAAACAAAATGAAAAGAGAGAAAAGAGGAAATAAAACTAATTGAGTTGGACTTCCTATACTGGATGATGACATCACTTCCTGCTTGTTCAGCCACTCGCACTGAGGGATTGTGGGTTTTAGACATTTTAAGCAGCTTTAATAGAGATGTAATCTGATTCTTAATTCTTACTGTCTTATTTCAGTGTGTGTGTGTGCGTGCGTGCGTGCGTGTGCCCGTGTGTGTGTCTGTCCTGGATTAAACATGATTGTAGTTCAGTAAAGGTACAAGAAGCTTTTCCTCCTGCGCCTTGAATAAGACGGCTGAATTAAATGTTTGTTTCTCCGTCTGGTTTTAACGTCCGTCAGCTTCTCTTCTCTGTTTCTTCTTTATTTATTTTCCTGCTCTAAAATATTAAAGTTCCAGCTTTCAGTACCTCCTGCTCAACATTCGGGACATGTTTTATTTTTGGTCTCACTTCAGTGTTTCAGAACATCAAACCAGTTCAAATATTTACCAAAAACGACACAAATAAAAACATAACACTGTTCATAAATGGCAATGTTTATTATTAAAACAAATATTAATTAAGAAAAATAATCCAAATCTATGTCAAAAACCAAAGTCATATATGTTTTACTTACATTGGCAGTTTTATTGTAAATATTTAATTAGGATGATAAATATTTAGGGAATAAAGTAAATATTTAGTTGATTCTCTATTGGCTATTAATCTATTACTAAGCTAAATATACTAATTATTTAGTTAACACTCTGCTTAGTGACTAAGCTAACTATTTAGCTCAAAATTAAATATTAAATTCAGCTAAGCTAAATATTTAGCTTGAACTATATAAAGTAAATATTTACTTTGAGGCTAAATAGTTAGCTTATTTGGTCTGTGCACAAGAAATGGCTTGCTTATTATGCTTACTGAATAGATTAAAGCTAAATATTTAATTTGTAAACTAAATTATAATTTAGAAAGCTAAATATTTAGCTTGAGTTTGCTAGCTACTCTTATGACTAAGGAAGGCTAAATGACCCAAATTACTGCTGTGAAGTTTTAACTTTACAAACTTGTTTTAATTGACTGAAGTGACAAATATGCAAATAGGAAATAGGAAAATAGGAAGCAAACTCTTTCAGTCAGAAGAAACATTAAAAATACTTCAACCCTAAACCTGTAAACTTCTGGATGTCGTCGTTTTGCTCCAGTTTCCTTTCTCTCTTTTTGAAGATTGATGTGTTTGTTTCTTTGGTTTGTGTCGATGTGACGATCTGGGAGACTTCAGGATTAAATTAAACAAACTGACATGTGTCAGTTTAATTGTTCTACGGAGCTCCAAACCTGTGCAGCGCTGCTGGTCCACATCGCTGGCCTCATTTCTGTCAGTCAGAAACCTTTTATTAAACACGTCACCATGTTTACATCACGCGTTCCCCGGCTGCGGCTTTCCAACCCACTGACACCGTTTGGACCCGGCAGGTTGGAGAGTTTGATTCTCTGGGTTAGTGGGTCAAACTGACGCGTCGTGGAAACACGAGTCCAGAAAAATATGTCAAATAATAAAACAGGAATCAGTAAAACAGGTTTGGATCATTAATGACCTACAAGAATTCAGGTTCATCTGAGGTTTTAATGTCTAAAACTGCTTTTACAAGCAGCTTTTAATCAGTTTGAATTTCCACTGTCTTTTTTTACACGGTTTAGTGTGATCATCACTTTTTTCAGGCTGCTACTAAAAGTTTGTAAAAGTATGGACAGATGAAAATGTTTAGTGCATTTAACTTCCCTTAACTCAGTTTGTTTGAATAAACTGCAAAGCTCTGATGTTCCTGGTTTGTTTGTAAACTTTCAGTTGGATAAAGTTCACCGTCTGTTGAAGTTTTGGTTTTTGTAATTCTTCAGGTAGATAACCGTTTATATTCATGCTCTTATTGTGAAGTGGTGGAGACTGTTTCCTCTCCTTCCCTAATAACTTTATTTAAAACAAACATGTAGGAACAAAATAAAAAAACAAAATATAAACACAGTATGATAGAACATGGTTAAATTTATCACTGTAGCTTTAGATTATGGTAAATATGATGGTATTAGTAGAAATAATGTTAATGATTAGCAGTTTAGTATTAGCTTCCACTAAATACTGTTGGTACAGGGCTTAAGTTTAGCAGAACTGTTTATGATTAGCACTTTAGCATTAGCTTTTGTCAAATATTATGTTCGTATAGCAATTTAGCATTTCCATAGCTAATGCTAATGATAAGTAGTTTAGTATTAGCTACCACTAAATACCATGTTTTTATAGCGCTTTAGCAGTGGAGGAACTAATGTTTATGATTAGCGGTTTAGCATTGGTGTCCAGTAAATACCATGTTGGTATAGTGCTTAAATGTAGCACAACTGTTTTTGATTAGGGCTTTAGCATTAGCTCCTCCTGCTAAATACTGTATTGGTCTGTTGCTTTAGCATTTAGCAGAACTGTTCATTACTTTTGCTGTAGGATTAGCGCAGCTAACTTTCAGTTAGCTTTGCCCATCGCTGATAACTGATTAGTTTTTGTAATTATTTCCTAATTTTGGCCGCTTCTGTCCTCCATATAGGATTAGGGTTAGGGGTTAAGGTAGGGTTTATGACACAAACAGCTCAGGCTGCAGAACTGACTTGTTGAATATAAGAAGAACAGATTTATTTCAGATCTGAATATTTTATTTACAAGTTCATATTTTTCCATAACATCTCCATAGAAAAACATGACTTTAATTTAAGCTACTTTATGAAGTGAATGTATACAACATGCTGATTTTAGCAGGCTGGGTGTGTGAGTGGTAGTTTTTGGACACAGTGGTGTTTTTGTCCACTCTGATCCCCACACATGCACACATGGGCTAACTGTATTAATAGGAGTCTGTTTTGTGTCAGGCAGATCTTAATAGGATCATTGTGAGAGACATGGGGCTGTCTGTCAGTCTAAGTTCATTAACTGATGATAGATAACCTGCAGAGTGTGTGTGTGTGTGGCGTGTGCATGTGTAGGTGTATGTGTGTGGTTTTCGGACTGTGCCTCCCTGTTTGTGGGTCTCTAGTGTAATTTATAGCCCTCAATTGGACGCCTTATCAGGTGCAGGACACATGGACGCCTCCTTTTCTCCTCCTCCTCCCATCTTTTAACTCCAACTTGGACTTTTCTCTCATTTTCCTCTCATCCATCCCCCAATCCTCACTTTTTATTACCCAGCGATGCTTTTTAATAATTGCTGCTCGTTCTGTCCTGATGTCTTAAAAAGTTGTCAAACTTCTGTTTTGTTTTGTGGAAACGTTTCTGCAGCCGAACTGGAGACGTTTGGGTTGATGTTGGAGAGCCGGTTCTGCTGCAGCTTCAGATGGTTAATAAAACATCTGGACGTAAAAACTGGAGTGTGTGGGGAAACGAGAGCGTCCATGGCGTTTCCATGGTTACTGAACACAATAATAGGAGGGTTTAGATGTGATGGATGAATAATATCAGATATACTGAGACTGGATGGATGGGAATATCTGGACCATCAAAGTTTCCGGTTTTCCAGACTTCAGTTCCAGTTGCAGCTTCCCAGATCAGATGGTTTCTGTATTCAGGAAGAATTTTAATAATTTCCTTTGCTAAACTGTATTTTTAGTTAATGTTTGTCTTGTTTCCATGCAGGTATGGAGGAAAGAACAAATGCAGCTTCATGGGCGAGTGGAAGTCGCTCCTCTAAGGTTTGTTTTGTTGCTTTTCTTCCAGTTTTATTAGCAATCAGAAATACTTTTAACCAGGAGCCTTTGATTTGGTTTTAATAACAAAGCAACTGTTTTCATGTAGAAATGTTTGGGTGGGTTTGTAAAGTTACACTGTCAAAAATTAACAGCAATATTTTGGATTATTTCATAACAGAAAAAAATTAGATCCATTTTTCAGTGTCATATTTTGATCATGTTATTCATTTATAAATGTCACAGTTTGAAACTAAATATGTAAATATGGCTTCAAACTTAACATTTAGTTTGAAGCTAATTATTTAGCTAAACATTTAATTAAATGTTTAACTAAATGTTTAGTTTTCTAATTAAATGGTTAGCTTGGAGCAAAATATTAAGTTTCAAGCTAATTATTTAGCTGGCTAACTAAGTAGTTAGTTTGGAGCAAGTTCAGAGCTAACAAACTAAATATTCAGTTTGTACCTAAATGCTTAGTTTGAAGCTAGGTGATTAGATGGCTAATGAAATATTTAGCTTCAAACTAAATATTTATCTTGCTAACTAAATATTTTATTTACACATAAACATTTGGTTTGGAAACTAACATGTAGCTTGTTAATAAAATTGTTAGCTTGGAGCTAAATACTTAGTTTGAAACTAAATAGGTTTTTTTAGCTACATATTTAGCTTCTTAGCTTAATATTTAGTTTGGACCTAAACATTTAATTAGGAAACAAAATATGTAGTTTGCTAAATGGTTAGCTCGGAGCTAAATATTTAGTTAGCTAGTTTGCTAGCTAAATATTGTGAAAATGTTTTTCTGTTATGGAAGGCTAAATAACCGAAATTGTTGACAGTAAAACTTCATAAAAATGCCCCCAGCAGAAAAGGAATGGTTGATACTAACTTCCCGTTCAGCTAACTTCCCGTTCAGCTAACTTCCCGTTCAGCTAACTTCCCGTTCAGCTAACTTCCCGTTCAGCTTACTTCCCGTTCAGCTCACTTCCCGTTCAGCTCACTTCCCGTTCAGCTCACTTCCCGTTCAGCTCACTTCCCGTTTAGCTAACTTCCTGTTCTTTCTGCAGAGTTACGCCGACGGATCGCAGTTCATGGCGTCACATGACAGCCTCTCGCCTCCGTACTCAAACTCCAGGCTAACAGGTCGGCTAACTTCCTGCGTCTCTTGGTTTGTCGTCCGTCAGCCGCGGATCGGCTGCTTTGTTTTGGCTGTTTGTGTCTGCGAGTGGAGAAACGCCAGCCGGCGTCTGCTCGTTTACCCATGATGCTCTCTGCCTCTGGCGCCAGTTGTGAGCAAATGGCCACTGACACAGATAATCTGCCTCACACACACAGCAGAGCCTAATTTACCTTTGACTGGATGCATCAAATATGGAAGACGCTCTCTGACTCTACCTGCCGCCTTTCTGCTTTTCGCTGCTTTGATCTGAAACGTTTCATCTGTTTCATTCATACCGAACAAACAAACATTTTTATTTAAAAACAAAGAAAAATCTGCTGTTTGTTTGATACATTACATAATATATATAGTCGTTACACAGAGTCACATATTTTGGCACTTATTTGGATTAAATGCTGCTGTATCTAAGTTTTTTTTAATGAAATTTTAGTGGAAGGAAAACGTATGTTGGAGGGGTGAAAAATTTGTATTTCAGTTAATTTTTTCAAAATTTGATTAATTATTGAATCAATGAATATTTTATCTGTTACCTATAAATAACTAATTTATGTACTTTTACTTAGGTAAATTAATTTAAGTAATTTTAGTCAGTAATTGAAATCCATATATAGATTCATTAGAGTCACATTTTGAGTGTTTGTTTCTGTTAAATGCTGTTGTAGCTACATATTTTGATGGAAAGTTTAGTGGAAGGAAAAAGTGTGTTGGGGAAAAAATTCACGTGCTTATTTGGAATTTGATTAATTATTGAATTGATTAACATTTTTGATATTAATTATGTTATCTGTAAATAATTACTTTCAATTCAGAAAGTGAAACCAAATATAGATCCACGAAGGAGTTGCATTTTGAGGATGTATTTCTGTTGCGTTCTGCTGTATCTAAGCACTTTAATGGAAAGTTTAGTGGAAGAACAGTTTGGTTGAGGTGACTCAGGGCGCCACGTCATCTCCTGTTGCTCCACTTTGTGTTTTATTCTTATTCTCCAGTGAGATGTGAAGCCTGCAAACGCTGCCAAAAGTACCAATACCTGCTTTCACCATCAAGCTAAAGTAGTTATTAGAAACAACCTGGTCTCAGGGTAATTAATAGATGTTTCTGGATGTAATTGCTGTTGTGGCTATAAATTGATGAATATTTAAATGTTTGTAAGTAAATTAGCTAAACAAAGGGAACATTAGATGATTTTTTTTTGTATATTTTGTGAAATTTAATCCTAATCCAGTAAAAGCTGCTGGAGGAGCAGCAGGAGTGATCCATTGTGAGCTGGATGTGTTGTGACAGCGTTGTGATTACGGTTTGTGACTCAGAAAAGGAAATATCAGATTCTTCATCTGCAGCCGAGGAGCCGCAAATTTACTTTTATGATGCTAACGCTAAGAGACGGAGACAGCCGGTGAAATGCGGCACACAAATATTTTCACCTCTGGATGTTGGGGTTCACACAACCAGGTCACTAAATGATGATAAAACCACTTCCTGTTGCTATGGAACTAATATATATGTGGAAAATGTTAGCGCTCATTGCTAGCCCGCTTAACGCAGCGCTTCCCAATGGAAAGGTTCAAACCGGCCTTCATTAAGATTAAAACAAAAAGATAAAACGATACATAAATGCCAACCCAAAGTGACCAGCAGCTTTATAGGCATCATCCTGTAGCATCATGCTAGCAGTGTAGCATGAGTATCATCCACTCTGCCCTCTAGCGCTCTCTGGTTGCTATGGTAACCTCCTGGTTTTGTCTGGTAAATGCTCTTCTGTCTCCTTCCCTGTTGTAAAGTAAAAACTTGTTTTTACTCATTTTGCTAGCTTGTTGGGTTTATTTTTAGCGCCTGACGTGACCGAGACGAGCGACTTGAAAATCACAGGTGGAGAGAAGCGGGTCAACATAAACACTGTTCAGATAATAAGAAAAAAAGAAATACTGTAAGTTATTTATTGTCTTGGTCCTAAATAACCTGGATTTGGAGCCCTACAGACATGTTGTTTGTAGCATGCTAATTGTAAAGAACCACTGCAAACTAGCTAAAAATCGTATAAATAGTAAGAAAGCTAAACAAATTGTCCCAAAGTCCACTTTGGTCACTTTCTGTTTGTGTTTTTGATTTTTAATTTCACACGTTTCTGACCTCATTTGCAGTTTATCGTTTGGTGAACTTTATTATAAAATGAATGATTTGTTCCACAGGTCTGAAAGCTCTGTGGTAAAACTAAACCGAGGGATTTTGCAGTTTTACCGTCTATTGTGAACATCACTCTGGAGTTATTTCCGTGCTTGAACTATTGCCTTTGATAATCCCTTTCATTTAGTTGTAAATGACAGTTGTCTGTTTGGATTATACGCAGAGTGAACCCTAAAAGGAAGCCGCAGTTCAGAGTTAAATAAACCCAACCTGAACATGTTAAGTGTGAAGCTGTCTTTCTGCCCCCTCCCTCCTTTGTAACCTTGTGTGTCGTCTTTAAACCGACCCCCCGTGCAGATTAGAGTGATGTTATGCTCTAGATAATCAGCGGAGGGATTAGTGTCATCTGAGCGACCCCACTAGATTAATCTGCAGCTACACACACACACACACACACACACACACACACACACACACACACACACACACACGTTGGGTGATCTAGCAATGAGAGGATGTGTGTGAGTGAGGTGATGTTTCTGTTCAGGCACGCAGGTCATTGAGTCAGTGTGGGTTAGATCTGTGGCTTTTCAGTGTCATGGCTGACATTTCTTATATTTTAGGGTGTTAGCATCATGACCATGACCCCATATAAACACTAACTGTCACCAAACAAAACAGAAATTCAGTGGTTTCAACTCACAAAATAATGGTTAAATATATCAAATGTTTGCTCAACTTGTCTTGTTTTTCTGTATTTTATACTTTAATAAGCTATTAGCTTGATTCTGATCAGCTGTTGGCATGATTCTGAATCGTTTATAGCTTAGCTCTCAGTAGCTGTTAAATTATTCTGAGTAGCTGTTAGCGTGTGTTTAACTGTTGGCTGTCTTTAACAACCAACAATTAGCTGTTGGTATAACTCTCAGTAATTGTTAGCCCATTTCTAAGTGGATGTTAGCTTAGTTTTCAATAGTTTTTAGCTAGTTATAGCTGCTGTTTAATGTCGTGGTAGCTGTTAGCTTAGCTCTCAGATACTGCTAGTTTGAGCCAGATATTGGTGTGATTAGCTGTTGTTTATAGTCTTGTTAGCTGCTAGCTTGACTGTGCAGATTTTAGGTGGACTTTGAGTCATCCTAAAGCTTGTTAGTTTTTCTGTTAGCTTTAGTCTGAAAAGTTGCTAGTTTGACCTGCCTTCTAGTTTCAGAAGAAATCTGATTTAATTTAAAGCATTTTCTAGTCCAACAATCAGAACATTACACAGTTTGTCATCAGTTTTTGTTGAGAAAAAATTGGTCAATAAAATTGTATGTGGAGTGTTGATATCAATGATGTTCCGTATGTCCAGCTTTGTTTCTTTGGCTGGCTAGAGGCTGATTGGAACCTACGTTCTCATTTGTCCTGACCGTTATTTCATATTTTAAAGTAGAAAGCGAAGCCTGGAAACAAAAGGAGAAGCTGCGTATGAACCTGACGATGTGGCGCCCCTCCTGCTGTTGGTGCCGAAACGCCGTCTGTCTGACCTCTGTGCGACCTTATTAATGAGTGTTGAGCCATGAGGCCGGACCCCCTCTGAGGAGGTCACATCTGGACACTTTATTTAGAACTACATATATCTGTCTCTCTTTTCGTCGCTCTCACTGAAAAGTGTCTGTTTTTCTCTTCCATCTTGTTTTCTTCATTTCCAACCCGAGCCATCACTTTCCTCCATTTCTTGTGTTTTTGGGTCGTTAACGTTGAGTGTTTCTGTCCTCTCCTTATCTCCGTATCCTCCTCTCGGTGTCCTTCTCCACCCCAGGAGCTCATCACCGCGGCTGGGTGTCGTGCCTCGGTTTTCCCCTTTGGCACCACGCTGTCCCAATGTGCTGCTTTCAGCTACTTCTGCTCTGAACGTTTAAACAAAGACGAGAAATAACCTGAACCAAAATCTTGAACGCAAAGCTTGTTGATATTCCACTAATGTCAAAAGAACTCAATTCTGCAATTGCAATGTTTCTATTACACAAGGAATGCAATTCAAATAAGTTTGTTTACACAATAAGAATCATCTTCCTATCACTTCCTGTTTGTCTTTGTTGTTTCCGCCAGTAGTAAGATCCCGTTGAAAAGTGTTTACATAGTTTTGCAAAATAAACTAATTTTGACTTATTAAAAAACTAGCTTTATTGAGATTGCCGTGTTTTCATGAATCAAATTTGTTTTCATAATTCCAATATGAACAATTTTATTGCAGTTTTTCTGCATTGAAATAAACAAAATTTTATATGGCTGAAAAATCACCTCATCCTTGTGCAAAAACATGAGTTTTCTTAAAATTGACATGTTTCCATTGAGCAAATACATTTTTGTAATTCCACTTTTTGCAATTTTGTTGCTGTTTGACCGTATTGAAATTCACTCATTTTAAACAACCTCATCCTTGAGCAGAAACATTTTATGGAAAAACATTTTTTAAATTTGACTGTTTCTATTCAACTTCACTCATTAAACTCAGTGGGTAGGATTAGATGAGACCATGTCATCTAATCTGATTGGCTGCTTCAAACAGGAAGTCAAGTTAACTTCTTTCAACTTTGTTAAAACTCTGTGCAGAAATATCTTTATTAATAGTAATTCATAAATTATTTCTGTTTATTTCCAGTTTTAATAAGTTAATGACGCATTGAAATAAGTATAGCATATGTTATTTTTTTTACATTGATTTGGCACTCTTTGCTCTCCGTAATAGCTATGTTTAAACCAGAAGCCATTTTCACATAAACATCAACACATGTTTACCTTATTGGAAGGAAAGTTAAACCATTTTCTGACAATAAAATGGGCTATTATTATTTACAAA